AATATATCGGTATATCGGTCCGATTTTTACCTCAAATATCGCTAAAAATCGCTAAAAAATCGCTAAATATCGCCGATAATATCGGCCCCGATATTTTGACCGATATTTATGGTCCGATTTTTTTCCTAGGAGCGATATCCGATATATCGCCGATATATCGACGATATATCGCGATATTAACAGCATAGGACACATCCGAAGATCTCCAACAACATTGTTAACACTGTGGATAATACTGACATGATTAATCTGTGGCATAAGAGACTTGGTCACATGAGTAAAAAAGGGATGTTTCTTTTGTTGATGAGAAATGTATTAGCTCGTGTGCATGGTGTTCATTTGAAGAAGTGTTCTCACTGTTTGGCACACAGACTAGAATTACTTTCAAGAGCCATTCTCCTTCTCGAAAGGAGAATATACTTGATTTGGTGCATTACGATGTTTGTGGTCCTATCAAGACTTGGCAATTGGTAGGTGGTCATATTTTGTCACATTAATCAATGATCACTCAAGGAATGTATGGATTTATACCTTTAAGTCTAAAGAACAAGAATTAGATGTGTTTAAACAGTTTCATGCCTTAGGAGATAGACAGACCGAAAAGAAGCTCAAGTGTATTCAAACAGATAACGGAGTTGAATACATTGGGTTTTTGATGCTTATTGTAAAGAACAAGGTATTCTGCACCAAATGACTCCTTTCAAGACACCTCAGTTGAATGGTTTAGCAGAACGGATGAATATAACATTTGCTAAGCGAGTCAGCCGTTTGCTCTCACATACAGGGTTGTCCAGTTCTTTTTGGGGTGAAGCTTTGAATACAGCGGTACATGTTATTAATCTAACCTCTTGTTTTCCTTTGCATTGTAATGTTCCTCACAGGATTTGGAGTGGCAAGGATGTTTCGTACAATCACTTACGGTCTTTCGATGCAAGGCTTTGGTACACATTCCCAAAGATGATGGTCAAAGCTTGATGTGAAAACTAAGCCATGTGTGTTCCTTGGTTATGGCCAACATGAGTTCGGTTGCAAATTATATGATCCAGTTCAGAAGAAACTTGTTTGAAGCCACTATTTTGTTTTCATGGAAGATCAAACCTTGAAAGATGTTGAGAAGGAAGAGATGGTTCCTCAACATAATGATGATCTTACTGATTCGGATGCAATTCCTCTTACACAGTTTGTGACACATAATGGAGATGGTGTTCTGAATGATCAACAAGATGGCACTGATGATGTTGATGTTCCAGAGCAAATTGAGATGGATGCAGAAGTTCATCAGAGTTACCTGGTATGCCATCGTTTATCCCACTTAGGCGGTCTATGAGGGATCGACATACTTCTACATAATACTCTGATGAGCATGTCTTGCTCACTGATGAGGGAGAGCCTGAGTGTTATGCAGAGGTCATGGAAGATAAGCACAAGAAAGAGTGGGTTGAAGTCATGCAAGACGAGATGACCTCCTTGTTAAAATCACATGTGACATCCACAGTTAATCAACGTTTTTTTAAATTGCTAATTTTTGTCAAAATATCATATGTGATATTGATCATAGTAAATTTAAGTGGAAAAAAATGTAAGTTATCTATAATATTACATGTGATATTTGTAAATTATAAATTACGTTTTGAAGTACATGTGATCTTATACATATTAAATATGTTCTGCTACATATCACGTGATTCTGTTTTATTATCTTCTCTTTTACAATGTTTAATTTGAATCATTGTTTTTCATGCTTTATATCACATGTGATTTGATGAAAATTATAATTTTTTAAAATATTGGCTTAAATAAAGCATAAATTCTCTTGATGAAAAATAAATACGCTTATTTTAAATGCATTGAATAGAGTACATTTTTAAATAAAAAAACAAATTACATAAAAATCACAAACATAGTAATAGTAGAATATTAAATAAATTCCTTAAATAACGTTTATATGAATAAATTATTTTCATGCATTTATTTATTTTTGGAATTATTTATTTAAGGTATTATTTAATGAATTGCATGGTCAATATTCATTCTCTTATTTTTCTTATATGGTTATTATTCTCGTATGAATCCGATTATATATATATATATATATATATAGAGAGAGAGAGAGAGAAGGTTTACTTTGCAAACCATGTTACTTGTACAAACCTCATACAATCAATCATAATTTTTTATTTTTTTCTAGTTTTTTCATTTTTTTGTAATTATGAGAGGTTAATTAATCATTTTTATTATGGAGGGTGTTAATCATGGATATTATCATCTTCATTATATTAATTTTAAAGAAATACATGAATTAGTTCCATTAAAAAAATTTAAGTATTATATGAAACAATTTCATAACCATATATGCAACAACTTCATCTAAAAAAGTATTATACGAAGCAATTTCATAATATTAAACAATTTCATGAAACAAAATCATTAAATTAAACAATAAAATCGACGGATAAGGATGGTTTGCACGATTTGTACAATATGGGTGGTTTGCATTTGATCGCTCCTCTCTCTCTCTCTCTCCCTCTCTCTCTCTCTCTCTCTCTATATATATATATATATCACTAATATGAGTCATTCTTCACACATCTCCATCAAAGAAAATGGGAAAAAGACATTGAGAATCAAGAAGACTCAAATGCCCACAAGATGCAAAAAGGATGTTCTTCAAACAAGTGACAAGATGGTGTAATAAAGGATGTTGAGCGTGCATTTGGAGTGCTTCAATCTCGTTGGTAATAATTAAAGGACCATCATGCTTGTGATAAAAGAAAAAGTCAAGGGATATTAAATTTACATAATATGATTGTTGAAATTGAAGGTGACAAGTTTGATCAATTGGATCGATGAACGGATGAAGAGGTAGATAATTCAACATAAATATTTCAAGGTTCCACCCTGAATTCCAATAATATTTTCAACAAAATTCTAAGATGCGCTCAAAAAGAAGTTCATCAACAACTTCGCTCCGACTTGGTTGAACCTATTTGGTCGGATTGAGATTACAAGCATTACTAATCATCATTTAGTGTTACTTCTTATAAAGATTAATGTTTGTGTAATTTTGCACTTTTTTTAATTGTAATATAAAATTATATTTATGTTTTAATTGTTTTCAAATATGTTAGCAAAATAAAATAAACAAATTAACACATTAAAATTAATATATTTGAATATGTTATATTTGAATTTTTTTATGATTTTATAATATAGATATAAATTAAATTTATATAATAATCTATAATAAAATTACATTGTATAAATCCATACTACCTTATAAACCAGATTTATCAAAAGTCTTGAAAACATTTTTTAGTGCACAATTTATACACAAAGTCTTAAAAACAACTCATAATGTATTAAGTACTACTACTTTATGCATTCAGTCTTATCTCTTAATTTACAATTAAAATAACATATAGTACAAGTTACCAATGCATATTATTACCTTTTCTTTTCATGTTCCCAAGATGTTTTTGACATCTTTCACTCATGTCTTCATCCTCTCATACCTCTATGACTTCTCTCCATCCTCCAAGGTGAGATTCAAACTGATATTCACCATTAAAAGTTCTCTCATTCATCTCCCATTCAATTGCTTTAGAACTCTCAGTCTCGCCCTCAATCTCTTGATTCTTTGCTCTTGGTGTAAATCGAATACATTTGTGGAGTCGTTTAAATATGTTGGATTTTAAATATATTGGATTTTAAACTGTCATACAATTTTTTTCATTAATAGACTGTAATTGGAACCATTAACTCTTATTTATTCAAATTGTATTAATACGTAAATACCAAGTGTAACTAATATTATCGTTAAATCTTCTCTAATAAAATCAGTGAAACTTCAAAATCGTTAAAATTCACGGCTCCTGTCGCATTGTGCAGGTACACAACTAGTTAAAAAATGAAAAGTGAGGTTTTTATGAGAGCCTTAGTCATGGAGTTTTATAAGGTTATTATTTTATCGAGAGGACAATATAACAAATGAAATTCCTGCTCTTGAAGGGTTCTATACTTTTAGAAGGGCAAGCTTGCGAATTCCATTTCTAGCCCAAAAAAGAACTTGTTGGGAAAAAAGATATCAGAACGCAAGAAACATAAATAAATAACTTTTAAACGACGGTGTTTTGAACTTTCACAAATTTTATTCCATCAATCCATCGTACAAGCAAATATTCTTTCCTCAAATATTATTAATTTTGCAATGCCAGTACCAACTACCTACTGTACAATTATTCTTAAATTGATATCGATCTTGCTTTCCCTTCTTTTTTGCATTAGATAATTGTATAGTCCAACCTGTTCAACCAAAATGCTAGTGCTGAATCATCATCCTCCACAACACAAATTTTATACCAACTTTGTGTTTTCGAAAGGATAAATTTTATAGCAACTTATTTATTACTTTCTACTTCCGGGCCGGTAAGTCTAGTTTCCAGATCAGTATTGCTTAAGCTAGCTGTACATCATGCATCAAGAGTTGTATATTGTCTAGATTTATCCATGGCTTACCGATGGAAGGATATTTGAAAACTTATCAAAAGCATCAATTAAATGAAAATGATGTAAACCTAGGAATTTGTTCAAGAATCGGCCCATATCGGCGAAAGATAGCATAGAAATAGAAAAAGCGATGAGGGAACCTGTTCACTGTGGCCTTGAGGGAAATAGACGACGTGGGTCCCAGACGCCGGTAAGTTGACCAGAGGTCCGGCACAGGCTTGCCATAGCTCCGGATTTATTATGCGGTTCTTGGCTCCACCTGTTTCGGGAAAACGAAAGGGAATAAAATAAAACACGATTGAAAAGGAACTTTCTGCATTCCTAATAAACAAATAATTGATAAGAGGATCTTAATCGGTCGGAGATTTAGAAAATTCCTGGAGAAGCTAATTGCAATTGTTACAAAGGTCCTTTAATTTGGTAGGAAAAAATCATCCAAGTGAAACAAGAATTACAAAAAAGCAAAAACAAATATTTTGTTTATGGATTTGTTTTTACTCATCGCCGTTCGTTACAAGATGAGAGAGAGGATATTTAGCTGACCTTCGCCATGATTCGCCGTTGTTAAAGTGGATCCGGAACTGTTCGCCGGCATCTTCATTGTTAGCTCAGATTCAAATCACCGGCGGACGTAGTCTCATAAACAAATGACCAAGGTCTTACCGCCAGAGATTCATCCTTAATTGCTTTCGTTCGCTATTAATCAGATCAAACAGATGTTTGACTACACAGGCAGCTGCGTAAACGATTAGTCGGAGAAAACACCTAAAATTAGTTCATCGTCGGTGATTGCCGGTGAAACACACCGGAAACAAAAAAAAACCAACTAACGGGAAGGAAAAAAAATTAAAAAAAAAACAAAGCTGCCGGAAAAGATGGATGGGGGACAAGATGAAGACCGGAGACACTTTAATAAAGGAGAGTTTGCTGAGGATTGCAGAGACCAAATGCTGCACCTTTGCCCCCTCCCTCCCTCTCTCTCTCAAACTTTCTGTATGTATATATCTGAATCTCTCTCTCTCTCTAATTTTCTGTATGTATATATCTGAATCTCTCTCTCTCTCTAATTTTCTGTATGTATATATCTGAATCTCTCTCTCTCTAATTTTATTTATGTATATGTCTGAATCTCTCTCTTCTGTGTCTGAAAGCAATCTTTCTCTCTCTACCCAAAGGGAGACTGGCCAAAGAAAGGGCATGGGGGATCACAAGGTTGACCAGATGAGGTTATTTCAGTAATTAACCCTAGTTAATACTATATCAAAGCATCCACTTCATTAACTTGTAGGTTACTCTAAATTATATCTTTTTTAAATAAAAAATTTAGAGTTAAATAAATGAAATAGCAAATTACTTTCATAAATTTTTTTATTAGAGTATTTTTTTTTTCTTATTATAGCAATATATTTTTAAAATTATTTTTGATTAAGACATTGTATTTTTAAAAAAATTACCATTATAACAATGGATAACATATTACATTTTAAACCGGTTAATCCCTTGACTTTTTTGTTTGTGTGGCTTTAATAAGATAATGTGGATGACACATCATTTTGATGACTTAATAAAAATAAAAACATATTTCAAATTATTATTAGTGATTTTTTTTTTCATTGCTATGATTTAAAAAATATTTAATTTTTTTTTACTTTTTCTTATTAAGTTGCATGCAAGTTAAATATTGTAAAATAAAATATTTCTTAAATAAATATATTACATTATATTTGAGATATATTTTGTTTGTAAAAAATGTAACGATTCTTATTTTATGTTGTTTAGAGAAATACATATCTTTAAAGTTTCCTCTAAAATATTAACGAAATAAATGTGTTCTACAATTTTTTTTAATATTGTTATACTAATAAATAATTCAAAAAAATTTAATTAATTTAATATATTTATACGTTAAATAAAAGTTTTTGAATAAATATAATATATTCTTTAAAAGATAATATATTTTTTTGTTAAAAAAGGAACAATTCTTAGTTTCTTTTTTCAAAAAACACATTTTTTTTAAATATTAGCGAGATAAGTTGTATTCTACTAGTTTTATTAATATTGGTATATTAATGAATAATTTTAAAAACAAATTTAATTCATTTAATATATTTATTAAATAAATGTAAAATATCTAAATATTATAATTAAAAGTACATTGTTTAATAAGAACTACTAGATGCTATAAAAAATAATTTTGAAGTACAATGTTATAATAAGAAAGTCGCATCACTATAATACACGTGGACAACCTACATGGACAATGAGGTGGCATGGAAACCTGATATAATGGGTAAATTTAAATCAAAAGGTTATCCAATGCTATAATGGGTAAATTTTTCAAAGTACAATATTCTAATAAAAAATAGTTTGAAAATACATTGTTGTAATAAGAAAAACTGGAAGTACAATGCTATAATAAAGAAATTTATAAAAGTAGATTGTTATTTTATGCATTTTGTCCAAAATTTTATTATTACGTATTTACATTATTGTTCTAGCCAAATATTCTTTTAAGAAACGGTAAATATTTGAAAAATTAAGAAGTGATTTCAGCTCTTTATATGATCAAGATTAGATTTTACTGGTCAATAATTGTTGCTTTAACTGATCAATAATTGTGACTTTAACTGATCAATAGTTACGATTTTGACTGGTTAAAAATTATAGCTATGCAAAAAAATAGAGAAGATAGTTTTGTAATTTTTATAAATAGGCTGCAAACGAGTTCATATATGAACTTATGTAATTTACCTATGAACTATATGTTCATATATGAACTCGTGTAAATCACATATGAACTATTTTAATAATTCACATATAAAGTGATTAACTGATTCACATATGAATATGTGGGTTCATATATGAATCAGTTAAGTAGTTCACATGTGAACTAATTAACTGGTTCACATATGAAATATAGTTTATATATGTATCACATGAGTTTACGTACGAACCATTTTACCGTCTATTTGTAAAAGTTAAGAAACTACACATCTATCTTCTACATAACAATGCGAGATTTTATCCGATGATTCACGGTTAAAGCCGCAAATATTGATCTGATAAAAGGTTAGGATCACTCTTTTACTTCTTAAATATTCATCATGTTTCAAACAAAATTCTCTATTATTCTATAATACATGTATTATTTTTGTCTTACATCTTATAATTTTAACACATTTTTTCCAAACAGTTTTAGCAAACCACGAACATTATATAATCCTAAAGTCATATAAAAGATGTTATTTTCAACCAAATTTATAGTTTACACTAATCCATTTACTTGTTTTGATACCAAACTAATCCACATGGGAGTAGTTGTATTTATGACAATCACTTCACTGTCACATCATTTTTTTTTTTATTCCACTTCTCTTCTTTTATACACATACACACACAATTGTGAAAAATGTAATTAAGAAACATGCAAAATTTACATATCACATCAATATAAAATTATCGTTTGGTATTAAATATAATTAAAATTTTCAAGAATTGAGTTTTAAATTGAATTTTAGAACACGGTCACTTAAAAACAACCGAATCAAAATATGTTTCATGTAAATTACATTCATAAAAAATTATGTTTAAAATATATATTTGCATACAAATATAATATTATTTGGATGTATTTTATCTATACTACCTTATAAACCAGATTTTATAAAAGTCTTAAAAACAACTTCAAATACATAAGATACTATGTTTAATGCACAAGATCTTAAAGTCTTAAAAACAAGTTATAATACACAAAGTACTACAAATACATGCACAAGGTAAGTGTTGATTCTTGCTCCCAAGAAATCAATTTCGGCTCCCCAAGAGGTCGATTCCTTCTCCCAAGGAAACTATTCGGCTAATTATTTTCAATTTCAAACAACTTGAACCCTCTCAAAGAGTTCTTGAAACCATCTTGGCTTCCCTCCTCCCTCTCGCGTCCTTGCCGCCTCTCCTCCGGTGTTCCTCCTTCTACTCCCATCTTGTGCAACGATAAGGTATGGGTCGATCTTCATGAACGTTTTTTCGAAGATATTTTCATCTGTAGCATCTACCTACTCGAGAATATTGTAATCAGTGTTGAATAAGGAAAGCAGATGACGATTTGTAGTCTGGGGTACAACAACTTCTTGAAGAGCATGTGAGATATCTGTAGTCATAGCAAGACAGTTGCTTGTCAACTCCATGGATGTCTTCAAAGATTTCTTCATTTTCTCTCCTGCATTTCCTTGTCTTTTCAAACCCATCTAGGTAAGTTTGTTCTTAAGTTATCACACCACTCATCCATATCTTCAATTTGACAAGAGCTTGGCCAAAACCCTAGAATTCAAAGCAAAGATTTCTTGATATGAACGCCGTTTTAACTATAAATTTGTAGTCTTTTGGATTACAAGGAATTGAAGCAACATGTATATATCTTTTTGCATCGAGAATCAAGAAACTGTTACGAAAGTTCTTGGAAACATGAAAAACTTAGGTTTCTTCTTGTTTCATTCCATAGCGATTAGGAATTTGATAAAGTTAGCTGATTCTTTCCAAATTCTTTGCAATATCTAAAGTGGCATCATTGTCCTTTTTGTTTTTTATCCAAACCGTTTCAAGCAAATAATCTTGTTGTTCTTGAAATGTTTGGCAGTAAAGTCGTACAACTTTGGGAAGGGGGAGAAAGAAAGGTAGAGTAAGGGTTGAATTGTTGTTTTGAATAAACATTATAAAACTACACATCTATTGGTTTGTTATTACATCAAATATTCATCTTTTCCTTTTCTTATGATAGGTTCTTGACAAGCTCTGATTCCTTCGACTCTGAGATTCAACATTGAGGGCCTTTGACCGTGGACTAGATCCAAATCTTGAGATGTTAGATCTTGGATGCATAAGAATTTGGAAAACTTTCAAGTTGAGGATGCATAAACTCTCTCAAGGGTTTCAGGTCTCAAAATGGTGATTCCCGCCTCTTTTTTACGATCTTGAGGTGAACTGAATCCTATGGATTCTCTGACTCCATTTCCTTTTTACATTTGATTATCAAATTGGTTTTTGGTTTAACAAAATAATATGAAATGTTATGTTTTAGACTAATAGGAAACAACCTTGCTTCCAAGAATCCAAAACACACACTTTTTGGCATACAATCTCCCTTATCATTGGTTACCTTTTTTCCTTATCTTTAACAAATTAATATGTTCAGTTGCACGTTCTATGGACCTTGCTATATGTTAGAACCACACACCTTACTTCGGTCAAGGTAAGACAAATGCTTCTGATCTGTTATAAAAGGTTGTTAGAAACATGATTAATGTAGATGGGTAGCGTAATTTGAATTAGATTAACTTTTTAAACACATGCTTCGTATATTTTCTGAAAGGAGAATCAAGTGAAGATGAGGAAGAGGCAGAGGTTTTGAGGCTGCAAAATGAAAAAAACAAGGTTATATTCAAATGCAGACCATGGTCTTGAAGATGACGAGGAAGATGAGAGTGAAGGAGAACCAATGTTTGAGGTTAGTTTTAGAATCTGTTATGACATTTAATATATGATTTCTCTCTATTGGTCATGTTTTTTAGTGCTTCAGTTGGTAACAGATTTACCTTTGAGTCATTTCTTCTACCAGAATTTACTGCATATATAGCTTATACATCTTATCAGGCATCGTTTGTGAGGCCACTAGCTGCTATGCTGAATGTTGAAATAGTTTTGTGTGCTTGCAGGTACTTTAATTTTTTTTTTCCATATTTAACCCATCCAACAAAAAATAAGGACCTTAGAATATTTGGTGTGGGGGATAAAGAAACATATATATTATATAACTTTTGGCAAAGGTGAAATACAAACAGTATAGCATCATTGTTCTAAATTGATGAATTATTGATGTGGAGGGAAAACATGCACAAGGTAGAAGGTAAATTAATTAAGGAAATCTTGATCTTAATGATATATAAAAATAATAGCCTTCCTATCAAGAAAAGCTTTGTTGACTTAAAGAATTGCTATTGCAAGCACATGCTTAGCACTCGGTTATTGAT